AGGAGAAGGAGGAGGAGGAGGAGGAGGAGGAGGAGGAGGAGCAGGAGGACGACGAAGAGGGGGAGAGGGAGGAGGCTGGGTGAGAGGTTTGTGCTGCCTTACAGTTGGCAGAAGAGTGACCGTTATCGTATACTAGTAGGTGGAGGAGGAGGAGGAGAAGGAGAAGGAGGAGGAGGAGGAGGAGGAGGAGGACGGAGAGGGGGAGAGGGAGGAGGGTGGGTGAGAGGTTCTGTGTTGCTTTCCATTTGACAGACGGTCAGCGTTATCAACTAGATGGAGGGCGACTCGAAGAAGGAAGCTTTTAGGAAGTACTTAGACACCAGCGGAGTGCTGGAGGCACTAACTAAAGTCCTTGTGACTCTGTACGAGGAACCAGAGAAACCTCAAAATGCTATCGACTTTCTGAAGAGTAACTTGGGAGCACCGACTCCGGCTGAGTACGACCAGTTGAAGAACGAGAAAGAGCAAATTGAGACCAAGTGCAAGGAAGTAGAAGCCCAGCTGGCCGCAGCCGTACAAGAGCTACAGGATCTCAAGACTGCCATCGGACTTAACCAAGGCCCAGCGCCGGGGGCTGATGTGCAACAAGAACAGTCTACGGGGGCCCAACCCCCAGAGCAACAGCCAGCAGCAGCAACAGCAAGCAGTAAATAAGGGGTAGATTTGTAAATGCTTCAAATGAATAAGCAAGGGTTCATATTTGAACTTTTTGAGCTGTGAATAAGATAAGATACACCTTGTAAGAAACTGTCAACGTGACTGTTAGAAAATGAATGACTGGACTACCCCTCGCCCCCCTCCCCCTCCTTCCCTTTTGCCCTCCGCCCCTCCAACGGGAAAGAGAAAGGAAAGGAGAAGAGGGGGGTGGAAATGGGGGGTATGCGGGAGAGGGGGAACCCTGACTGGTAATTTCAGTTGACCGAGTTAAGAGTTAACTTAACTGAGTTAACTTAACCGAGTTAACTTAGCTGAGTTAACTTAACCGAGGTAACTTAACTGAGTTCTCAGGTTGTTAAAGCAATCAGTCTGACGAACAGGTTGACGGATTGACTGCTTGACAGACCAACGAACGATGAAGGACAGACTGATTTCAGACTGACTAAAAATGAATGGACTACCCCTCTGCTTGACTGCAATCAGACTGACTGACGGACTGACTGACTGACTGACTGACAGAAGGACAGACTGATTTTACTGGAGGATTGACTGACTGATAGGTGGACTGACTAACCAGCGGTCTGAACCTGCATGGATGACTGCCTGTACCTGATTGGCTGAATAACAATCCCTTAGATGAGCACCCACAGGAGAACGTGTTTTTTCTTGTTGTCCCTTTTTCCGAGTTTTCTTAAACATCAAAGGCAGTTGCTTTCGCCTAACTAGTGTTTCTTCCGTTTCAATTTTCAGTTGTCGACGACAATTGTGATGGGGTTGCCTGTATATACTTGCTCGGGTTTATGCTGTTCTCCCTCCTCCTCCTCCTCCTCCTTCCATCGATCCTCTGGATTGCCCCTCCCTGTCGTCCTCCTGGTCATCACCAGCATTCGTCATGGTTGTCGCATAGCTGGTGCTTCTCCTCCTCCTCCTCACCCTCCTTCTTCTCCTACCGTATTTGATGGCTTATGTCTCTTTGTTGTCCTGCTTATCCGCGCATATTGCTAATCTTCTGTATCGCATTCTCGCTCCTCCCCCTGCTCCTCCTCCTCTTCCTCCTCTTCCTCCTCCTCCTCTTCTTCTTCTTCTTCTTCTTCTTCTTCTTCTTCTTCTTCTTCTTCTTCTTCTTCTTTTCTCCTCCTCCTCTTCCTCCTCCCCTTCTGCCTCCTCATCCCACTCGTTCCTCCTGACCGTTAGGATATTATACTGGGAAAAAGCATTTAGACACGTCCATTTCCTATCTGTCACTTACAGATAGTCAATCAGAATAGTGACGGCACTAAAACGAATTAAATCTCGTTACAGCCCAACTGCGGGTGCTCGTGGGGGTTGTTTTGGGAACTGTATCGCCCTTTTTTTTTTTTTTTTTTTTTTTTTTTTTTTTTTTTTTTTGAGGAGGATAGCATGGGACTCCATGCCATTTTGGATTATAGAAGCAATACCGCTTGCCTGGTACAGGCTGCTAAAAAAGGGGCCTAGTTTTCAGGAGGGGGACTGGGTGGCCGTTCGGGACGACCACAGTAACTGTTCTTTGCTTTTGACTTCTCCTCTGTTGCGTGGTACATTTTAAGCCCTTCGGGAAAAAGAACGGATTTTTAATTCTGAAGCCCTTCGATCTCGCTCTTGTTCATGAAAGATACCCAGTCCGTGTCTGTCATTGCTGCTTTGGATTTTCTTTTTTTTCTTTTTTTTTTGGGGGGGGGGGAGGGGGGGGGGGCAAGTACTTTCAAGTCACAACCCATGTTCAGAATGGGCAACTTCAGCAGTTCCGGAAAAATGGCAAAAACGGCAAAACCCTAAAACTGCATTCATCAGTACAGCGGCTAATGACTAGCGCAGTTTTAAACCAACGCTAAAAGTAGTAAAGACACATTTTCAAAATCACACCATGACTTACAGTGCCACGTTGAGCTTTCTGTTCTTTTTTTTGGTTCTGTTGCCCTCTGCTCCTCCCTGTAGCTATTATGAAGATGGTGGTCTTGTCAGTTTTGTGTCGTCCCTGGTTTCTTGCCTGTAGTTTGTAGTAACTTTGTACCTTATTCTTCAGTCTCCAGCACACAGAAAGATGACATGCATATATTGAGGATAAAATAAGGCCCTGTATCTTGGCAGGTTCTAGGGAAACATCTATTCATGTTTTGCTGATGCAGTGGGTCTTGGTCCACTACTCACTATTTCGTACTTGACAAGGATTTAGCCTAGAGTTGGGGACGATTCCCTGTTCCTTGTTATTCCCAAGGGTTTCGTGGGAAATTGGATTATTAGGGGGAGGGTCACACACACACACACACACACACACACACACACACACACAGAGAGAGAGAGAGAGAGAGAGAGAGAGAGAGAGAGAGAGAGAGAGAGAGAGNGAGAGAGAGAGAGAGAGAGAGAGAGAGAGAGAGAGAGAGAGAGAGAGAGAGAGAGAGAGAGAGAGAGAGAGAGAGAGAGAGTGTTAAATGTTTAGAACTTGGGTTTCATGGGAAATCAGACCATCCGGAGGAAGGCGAAACAAGGTTTACCACTTTACCAATGGTTTTTGGAGAATTCCGACTCTAGCTAGAAAGGTAGTGCACATGCATCACCAAACAGCTGCAACCTTGTGGACTGTAGATGTTACGCCCTGGACTCCTGTAGTCGACCAGGACGGAGACGTGGCTTCGTCAAGGGCAGGGTTTTGTCTTTTCTTTCTCTTTTCCAATCAGGATTACGGTAGTGACCTCTTCGCACTCGTAAGATGTTGCATGTTCCCTTAGTAGGTTTTGAAAGGGTCCTGACCTCACAGAATTTGTTGCTGTAACAAAATCCATTTTCAATTTCAATTTGTATCATTTTGTAAGAAAAGAGAAACTTTGTTGAAGTTTGACTTCTTGACAGGCTTAGTTTGCAGGTTTCTTGGAGAGAGGAATCGAAGGTTTGCTAATTTTGACAAAGTCGACTTTCTTTTTCATACACTTTGCTCTCACGGCGCGATTCTGCATGGTCACAGTGAACATAGCTCCTAGGAGCGATTCTGCCTGGTCACGGTGGATATAGATCCTAAGAAGATGATGCTCAAGTCCTATGTCCACCATACAAAACCTCATGGTAGACGATTAGGGAAAGCAGGTAGATCACATCCCCTTGGAAAACCTATTATTGGGCTGTGACTATCTACCTTCTGTATGCACACGATTTTCTACGCGATTGGTAGTGGGCTCAAAATGGGCCTATGTATGTTTACCAGGCTGGATAAATACAAATCTCGGATTCTGGATTTAGTGAAATATTTAACATTTTAGATGATTCTTTTTCTTTTAGGCATTTTAGGAATCTTTTTAAATAGAAAAAATATCCTTATTATGTTAATGTCAATAGAGTTCAAGTTGATGTTACGTGCTGCCAATTTGAACTTTTTAGTATATTCTGTTTATTTAGATGACATGATGGGTCACCCCCTCCTCTTTCAAATTCCTTTTCACAATTGCACGTTAGTCTAAGTTGTAATGTAGGAAGGACCTTTTTGTAGCTTGTGACTGACTTTCTTTCAGTCTGGCAGTTAGGACGCCCCTTAGTGAGCGCAAATGAAAGGTGACGTGTATTTTTCTCACTTTTCGTTCGGAATTTTGCATGATCCAGTGGGAAAGTTTGGCGCAACGATCATGCGGGTTTGCATTTTAATTTTGAATTCTCATAGGTCGCACGTGCAATTGGGATTTTTCTGTTTGGAATTAGGACTTTAATTTAGCGTAGGATTTTCTCTCTTTCTCCACGCCTTAATTCTATTCTTAACTGTCAACCAACCTTCTCCTTGCTCTTGATCTCCAATGTAGAACTGTCTTTTCTTGCCCTCTCTTTTTGGCACTCATGCAACTTCCAGTTTCTTCTTCTTCTCATTGGCCAAGACAAGGCAACCGGGATTGATTACTGGAGAGTGGCTAGGTCCTCCCGGTATGCACCTCATAGGCACTTCCTTTCATGTCTCTCGTCTAATCCTGGTTATCTCATGTATGCATTCCTCACTATGAAAATTGGCAGCGGGGCTTTAGCCCTCTCTCATCTAAACTTTCGGAGTGAATGCGATAAAGACGATTAACTAGTGAGTTGCAGGAATTGTTGAGGTGAGTAGCAGGGTTTCTTGATTCGACGAGCGGGTGGCAATTGTGCGGGGTTGGTGTGTCACCTCGATGGATTGTGGGGCATGGACGAACCTGGCTTGCGTGATCGGGCTAAGCGGAGTGACGACTCTGGGTCGTTGGTGGATGCGAGGTGATGCTGCACCAAGTTTGGAAGTGGCCTATGTTCAAAAAGAGAGAGAGAGAGAGAGAGAGAGAGAGAGAGAGAGAGAGAGAGAGTTCGAAGATCTGGAGGTATTTTGGAACTTTTTGCGTGTGATCTCAAAATATTCTCGAAATTTGGTCAGTCAAGATCGGATGCGATGACAATTTATATAGGGAAGGGTCTTCGATATCAAAATGAAATTCTACTCAAGAAACAAGGCAAAGAAAGAAAAAAAAAACATGTCATATTTCGAATCAAATAAATCGGAAAAAACGGAACATGCAAGGTAAGATTGTTGGCGTGAAGGAGGGTGGGGGGGGAGGAAGACGTTGAGGGGGTTCCTGAAGTAAATGGGATTAGGATGTAGGTCGGGGACCCAATTTGCGAAGAACAGGATGGG